TCTCAGCAAAGTTATTTTAAAATCTGAGAGTTTGCCAATGTTTCTTTTTAAAGGATCRCATCTAGTGTGACTCATTACTCCTGGATTTCATTTGTCAGAGCAGCCAAGTAGTCTAGCTTTTACATTCCCAATGGCCATTATCTCTGTTTGCTAACAGCTAAATGGCTGATGCATGGATACACATTATTYCTGTGTTTTCTTGCAGAGAGAGATCTTTATGCTGGAAACAAAACATTAAAACAAGACACTAGAAGAATATGATCATCCACAGATTTCAGGGAAAAAATGGTATTGATTGGAAATATGTATATGAGGGATATTTTACTGACTACTAGCTCTAGGGAGTTTATTCATTGGATTTCTTAACTTTTAGGTTATATAATGAATGTGTTGAAATACAATCTTATGCTACTGACACTRTATAACTATATATTAAATAATAATTTCTAGCAGAAATCAATATGTTAATTCAAAATGCAGCWACTGGTTCGAGAGTATGATCTTTATTCATCAAACTAGTGCCAGAGCCTGACAAAAGTAAGCATGTGAAGAACCCATATGTATTTAGCCATCCATTTAAACTAGTGAAGTTGATYCCACTGGCCACTGAGTAAACCTCATTTTGGGCAAATACTTCAGTGAGTTAGGATCTGAATCATTGTAAAACTGAGCTGAAGAAACCATTAGATTAACAAATGTGGAGCCTGAACCATGTAATTATAAGATCACGCACAGCTGGGGTGGAATTCATTAGCCAACACTAGAGTTACCTTTCGATAAGCACAAAGAGAAAAATAATTGTTTCTCCATTAAATAGATGTAGTACAGTTTGTGCATTTCGTGTCTGCTGTATGGTGCTGCAGATGCTTTCTGATTAGCAGTGAAACATGATGAAGATGATCTACAGTTGCTCAAACAATTTCCAGTGATAATTAACCAAGCAGAGAAAATTCCTACCACTATTTCAGAAGGTCAAAGCAAATGTAATCCAAAATCTTTCAGGCCATTGTARTTTCACATGTATAAAAATATCCCCTCTAAACTGCTCCATGATACGACTAGCACTATCAGTAAAAAATACATAAGCACTAAAAATGTTACTGTGATATTTACACCATTAATTTTGTTTTATTTATAAGCAGTGTACCTTGAGTAACCAGCATATTGGAGCTTCTACTAGCTGTAGATCTAGTCTTGTGAATAATGCTGGGCCAATTTTGAGGTGGTAGATGTGATACAGGCAAGAWTTCATTCTAAAAAACAAATGGGAATGTTTTCTAAGATATGGAAATCCAGACAGTGCTGAGACAAAGCAATTGCACATGAATGTGTGACTRCATCTGCAGCACAGCTGTTGAGTGGGGTTTGCAGTGAACCAGGCAAGCAGAAATTCCATTGTAGTACGGCAATGAGTTATGGTAATATTGTTACCATAAACATGCATGGTCCAGTCACATAAAGACATAATTTAATCTTTGAAAATGTTACATTTCAAAATATAATATAAATGTACTAGTTGGAAGGAAGGGAAAATAAAAGACCAACAATATCAAATGGTTGATTAAATAGGTAACATCTGCTTGGGATGACAATTAAATGTTGTCATCAAAGATTTTTTTTGTCATTTGAAAAGGTTTCTTGAACCAGATCTGTAATAATTGTATTTAAAAAAAGAAAAGAGTGCTACTGTGTACTCTGTGCAATTAAACTTWGTGTTTTAAGGGCATCTAAGAGTCATTAGCAAAAGCAGGTTTAATAAAAAAGTGAAAGCACACCAAAGTTCAYTGGCAGGGTTCACTCYACTACTCWCTAGATGGTTAAAGCACACAGAGAAAAAGTAAGCTAAATATAAAATCAATGAATCTGAAACCAAAATCAACCCAAAAATTACCTASAGAGAGGCTGGGGGCATGGGGGAAAAATGGGTAAGGATGGGAAAGTGTAAGGATAAAAAGGAATAAGGAAGACCCTCCTGCTGAATCACAAGGCTAAAGTGAGCCCCAGACTTGACCAAMAGTTTAAGCCTAAAGGTTTAAAAGCTCTTCAACTTAACAGCACTTAACTGATAGTTAAATTTATGCAATTTAACAAAAGACTCATGTAGAATTTACTATAGCACAACAGTAACTCACTTACAGGCCTAACTTACAAATYTMWAGTAATTAATAATTCTGGAGAGCAACATTCAATTTGCTAGGACATATTCACACTTTCACGCACACAGAGCTAAGGAATATGTACAAGGAACACCTGTGAATAATTCCATTTGAATTCAGTGAAGAACTCATGTCAGATACCTTTGCATCTTCTAAATGGCCATAGGGTCGAGCCTCAAAGAGTCAGGGGTATCAGCCCAGGGTCCACCATCCTTGTTTGGCAGTGATTCTCCAAGCATAGCAAACTTGAGATTTTGCTGGCTCTGAGGTGTCCTGCTCAGAGACAGATTGCTGGTCACCTGCTGTGGTCCTGGAAAGCCCCAAAGGTCTCACTTAGGACTGCTCTTTGTAGGGTCACAAGAGAGTTGGCTTTAGTCACGATAATTTTTCATTCTGGCYRCAATTTGAGTTGTTAACTTTCTTTGAAAGTCCGATAAATAAAATGTTACTCCACTTGGGTTGTTATTCAGGCAAGAAACACAAGTTTCCCAGGTTGTTCATTAAAAACAGGAGCTTGTTAGCATAAGTTGGTGGAAGCAGACAGTGTTTCTGATAAGCTCRAGAGGARCTCRGCCCAGGTGTTGGTCAGGGCTGAGGCCTAATGAGCATCTCTGAGATCACAGCGTGGCCTGAGGGAGGGGGGGAATGCACCACCACATCTGCTCCTTGTGTAAACTAACACGTGATTAGAACATTGAAACTTGGAATAATTCAAACAACACTTACAGGTCCCTTCCARCTTGAGCCATTCTATCATTCTGTGATTCTGTGAACAGTTCTAGGTGAAAAGAATTTCTGTGTGGTTTGGGAGTCAGCAGAATTTACGCATTTCAAATGACTAAAAAAGGTCATACGTGTATCAACATGCTGGCATATCCATAGCACTGAGCAAGCACTTTTCAGAGGATCCATGAGCGTGGCATTTTCTGACCTCTCTCACATCCAAGCATGGTAAATGTCTGGCCTTCAGACATCACCTGTCCTCTTAGTGRCATTGCAAAGCATTATTTGAACAGTCTGTGTCTGGCCTTGAGAGGGACCTGTGTGTGGTCCTGAGCACACATTTGCATTGACATGGTTCTGGTCTCGCTGGGACTGTGCTACACATCTGGGGACCATTTTACATTGGGTGCTCATCGTGAGGAGGAGTAGAGAGCTTAAACCCTCTTTGATCACCCAGTAAATCCCTGCACTGTGTACATGTTCCCACCAAGGACAGTTCTCCCTACAAACGGGCTGACATGGWACTTCAGCATGTAATTGAGAGAGGAAGCAGCTGATAAATTAATTTCTAATACATCAGCTCTGCATTGCAGGAGAGAGTCCAAGCTGAAGAAGGGGCAGTGTKGCTTGTGGGCAGCATGGCTCTAGCATTCAGGGGCTGTGAATCCTCTGYCTGGCTACAGTGCATTTTTTTTTCCGCTGAGTGACCTTGAGCACATAATTTGTCCTGATATAATATGAATAAGATGATTCAGACTTCAGTTTAAAACACTTCAAAATCTATGCTTGAAAAGCTCTATATGAGCAGCARCTATTATTGAAAGCAGTGCTAGGATCTGCACCAGGTCCCCTCTGTTTCTGCATCTATTGTTCCTTATCTTCATCTCTCCTTTTGTCTTCACTCCTTTGCCTCCTACAAACCCCCTCCCATAATCAACCTTCATGAGACTGCACTCAAAATAACCCCTTCAGCAGCCTGAAATAACTAATTCAGTTTAAGGCAAGTAAAGAGATAGGGAGCAAGTCAATAAACAAGCTGATRATTTTCCTCAGTAATCCAAAGTAATTATACAAACTAGTATGTAATCCTTGTTCTCCCACTCATCCTGCAGTCCTTCCTTTTTCCCTCGTTGTTGTTTTGCTGTTATTCTTACCTGACATCCTACACCTGCTCGAGTCCAAATGGCCTTAAAGGCAAGGGCTGCATCTTTTCCTCTTTGCTGTGCCTTCCATACAAATGTAGGGATGAACATTACATTTGAAACATTTTCAGAACACTTTGATGATTTACTGTTCTGCATCTTTGCAAACACTTGGTTTTCTCCCCTGCAGCAAATCAACTGCCTCTTCTGGATCTTTTGTCACTGATTTTTTCTGTGTGTTGCAGTTTTCTCTGCTGCAGAGCTGAGATGGGTTCTTTTGAAAGCATTTGCTTCACACTCATTTATTTCTTGCAGAGTCATATCACCCCAGGGCTTGATTCTCACTGTCTTTTGCAAACAGTGGCTCCACTACTTGGAGCTACCGATGATTTCTTCCTGCTCGATCCCTCTCCCTGAGGAGTGTGGGTTTTCCCTTGAGAACTATACCTCTTTTCTGAAGAAACTGAAGGTTGTAGCTSCAACTGCATGAGAAGGAGCAAGATGCTGTGTTGCTGGACTAACTAATATACAATAATATATGTTATATTTCTAATATACTGGGGATGAGGAAGGAAGGCTGACTGCCATTAACTTCAGCACTAACTTTTTCAAAGATGTATTTAGAAAGACTCCTGCAGTCCAATAGATCGTCATTATTAAAAAGCATAGTTTGCATGTAATTCTATTTTGGACTCGTGAATGTTTCGGGTTGGACAGGACCTTAAACATGATTTAGTTCCAAACCCCCTGCCATGGCCAGGGACACCTTTCACTGGACCAGTTTGCTCAGAGCCCCATTCAGCCTGTCCTTGACTGCTTCCAGGAGTGGAGCATCCACAGCTTCTCTGGACAATTGGTACCAGCATCTTACTAACCTTACAATAAAGAATTTATTCTTGATATCTGATCTAAATCTACTATCCTTCATTAAAAACCATTACCAATCATCTTCTCACTATGTTTCCTGAAGAACACTTTGCTAGCTTTTCTGGAGGCCYCGTTTAAATAGTGGAAGGCTGCTAAAAATAAACTGTTCCTCTTCATGGAAATCTTTAGTAAAAGGCAAGAGATTTATAGAACCTGAAGAGAAACCAGAGTTCACTTACTTATGCCATCACTTCTGGATTACTTGTAGTGATACTGCAGCAGATTTGAATCCTTTAAACCAAAGTGTTGAATACATGGATTCTGGTATAAATAACAATAGATAAAGCCATGTAATATTTTTCATATTRCATTTATATAAAGATAATGAGGAGTAGAAGCTTCACTATATCATCTAGCCAGAATGCACTAGGTAGTGCACGTACACAGTCCACTTGTTTTAGGCTCTCATTTGATCCACAGAAGGTGCTCATTTCCATTTTTCTTCCTTTCTYGGTATTTTGGTTTGAGTCTCAGTTTCCAATGCAAACAAAAGTTCACAGTAAAATTCAGTCCACAATGTCAGGTCTACTTCAAGTGCTGGACCGATGTGGAAAGACCTGGCTCTTCCAGGCTCATTTGTGAGTTTTCAGGWGCTCTGTCATGGGTTATTTGTCTACAGGAAAGGACAGAAAGAGGAGCGAGGACATTGGAAATACGTCAATATATAAAAGATTAAAGCAGAAAAAGACATTGACTGTTTCCTCTTCTTGACCACATATGGCCATTCRTGTGTTTAAAAGTGGATGAGAGATTAGGAAAAGATCTAGCTACAARCGTAGAGAAAATTGGAATAAACTATTGAGGAAAGTGATCAAATATTTTCTTGGCAAATTTCTATGAAACAGAAATATCTGTCAGGGGTGATTTAGTTACATTCACTATCTCACTGCAAAGCAATAAACTGGACACTTCTGCTCTCCTTTGCCTTCAAATACAAACTGGCATTGAAAACACTTCATCACCAGGCCATAGCTCCCAACAGCATTGTATATGGTTGAAATTGGTTCAACTATTCCAGAAAAACACTTCTGCCCATATTTTTAAAGAGCCAGGCTTCAGAAATCTGTTAGTGAAATAAAGCCTGAAAGAGAGCATTCCATCTGGGGTAACCCTTTTTTGCCGTATGTCAGCCCCTGTGAAATGTTTTATGTATGTATTCTTTGGAAATCATCTAGCAGAAACAGCTGTGTGTGCTGCCCACCTGCTCAAGCCTACAATCTAGTGTTATTTCAATTAGATTTGATTGCAGGAAAAGTTTATGAAACAGCTATCAATGATTTCATGCCATCTGGCTTCCGCTTTTCTTCTGTTTAGAGAGACCCTGTGTTTACATTGATTGGCCTTCTATATATACAAGCATGACTGAGTTTTATTATTCTTTTTATTTGTCTGATAGCAGTGTTCTTGGTGCTTTGCAGTGTGCTGTACAAACTTACAACAGAAGAGAAGCTGTAAAGATTTCATGTCATGAAGTTTAGATCAGASACACGTGAGGCTTCACTTGAGAATATACCAGAAAATAAATCGTATTTTAAAAATCCTAGTTTATCGATTAGGATACATTTTTTTTTTTTTTTACTGATCATAAAACGACTTCTTTTTAGCCACGTAAAAGCTAACTTCTTAAACAAGACAATATTTTGTTTCCCTTTCAGAGCCAACAGAAGGAGATATAAACTTTATCAAGAGGAGGGRGTCCAAAGTCATGACTCAGGTGAAGTGGATTCCTCTGGAGACACTTCTTTCCTCTGTTCATTACATTGGGAGCTTGGASACCTGGCCTCAGTTGGGTTTACCTTCTCACCTGCTAAAAGTGAGATGGGCCGTCCCTTGACAAGGGGAGTCCCTGGTTACTTTTAAACTCCTCAAATTACAGAAGTATTCACTTTGGTTAATTAATGTTTTTCAATTAGCTATCTTTTCTTTAATAATATTTGAAAGTTTACTCTCAGGTGAAATATAACATAAATCTTTTTAAATGCTGACTTTATTTTTCCTTCTCCCCCCAAATCCTTGGTGTTTCTGTTGTCTGTGAGGATTTGGTACATAAAAGTCTGTCTGAAAGAGGATGTTTCATTGGTAGAACAAATTAATCTTCTAGCTTGGACCTGAATTCAGTTATGGAAGGCTTTAACCTTGGTGAGCTGAACATGACATTTCAAACAACAGCTGAAAGGTTCATCCCCATTTGGACAAACCAGCTCTAGGAAACAACAGCTCAAACTCAGGCTGCCATCTTGTGTGTTTGTCCCTCCTGAAAGAAACCAAATTTAAGTGCACGAGTTGACTTTGGAATTAACACCATCTGCTCACACTGAGCTGGTTAAGATTTGCTTGTGCCGCTGGCCTCTTTCTTCCCAGAAGGATGACACGCTGTGTGGGGCTTGAGGGATGTGGGCATATGTTAGGTTGTCAGACTCAGTGGTCTGGAGGCATCCCTACTCTTTGGAAATACTATAACCTTTTGAAGCTCTATAAAAAGGGCTATGATACATTAGAGGGTCCAAACCTCTTCTATATTGTCATTACAGTGTTTATTCCATAGCTGCGTGCCTGCCTGGAATATTAAGTACCAACAGAACTTAAACTAAAAGWAGGAGGGTAAAACTGTAACTGCTCTGGTGAACAGACTCCATTTATTTTCTACACTGCCCACTACAATGGGGATTTGCTCCTGACTTTCATTGCTTTGTGACTGCAGCAGAGGTGTCACTGTGCTGTTTCTATTTAAACCAGCGTGCAGGCATATAATGAATCTTCAGAGGAAATTAGCTCTTCAAACACCTTGCACCTGGCCTCTGGTACTTGCAAGCTGAGATCCAAGCTATCATCTCATATGCCCTGCTGTCTTTTAAGAACAGATTAAGGACCTTAGTTGGCTATAGGTTTTCCTTGCTTTCACTGCAGCACCAAGTTTCAGATGTTTTACTGGGAAAAGAAAAAAAAATGTACAGGCCATCTGGAGTGGAAAACAATGTACTGTTACCACATTTTTAAACCAAATATTTGAAGAAAGTGAACAATTCTGTAAAACCAATGAAAATGGGGGAAGCGGCAAAGATGTTTGCTTTTGCAGATTTCCTTATGAATTATTTACTACTTTACTAAAACAACTTATGCTAATAATATTCTAATAACCAGTGCAGGTCTGACTCATGTTCGGCTGAAGAGATATGTGAGGAGAACACAGGAAACTTTGCTGTAGACTCCCATAATTCTCTGGAATACAGATGGTGTAATTACCCCAGTACTGCTGAATATATATGAACGTAGGCAGCTGTAGAGCATAGCTTCCACATACTTACAAGAATATGTTTAAAGACTAGTTAAATACTGATTTTACCATTATTTTTCTATATTTTTTATTACGAATTTGCATGACCACAGCACCTAGTGGCCTGAATAAACTGTAATTGGTGCCATCAGTAAAAAGACCATGTGTRCAAGAACTTTAACATATGAAACCAGTGACCCCTATCCTGGGGGACACAAGTCACAGAGGCATGGCTGCATGGATAGATGGTCCAAGTTCATTGTTTACAGGAGTAGCACTGTGCCTTACTGCAATCAGCTGCAAGACTTTTTGTCAATATATGTGCAAGAACATCAAGGCACCTAAATGTGAGGCATTTCAAGCCAGGGAATTAGGAAGATGAGCAACTTTGGGTCTATCTGAAATGTAGAGATTTATTCAAACCTATTTCATGAGGCTGTGAAAGCGCCAGGTGTTGACTCATACTTACTAAGTCCCTACTCATAATTTTGCCCCAGGATGAATCCCCTTGTAATCAGCAATGCACTTTGAAACTAACTGCTTAGAGTCTAATTATCACYAGATAAATTCCTTTTGGTTCAGAAATATAAAAAAAACAAACGTTATTTAGGTTCTGAAAGTGCTAACATATACACATGTGCTTAATCCTAATCCTCTGGGCTCAGCGGAACAGATCATATGTTCAAAGTAAGGAACATGGCTAAGTCTTTGCAGGAGGAGTGGGACTTAATTGTAAAAATTTAAAATGGCTATAAGAATTGGCTGAGCTCCATTTTGATGGATGCAGCCTCCTGGAAAAACGGAAGAGACCCCATCACCAACACAGAAAATAACAACCCCGACAACAAGATAATACAAAAAGTCTGAAAGAAATTGTCATGAAAAGAAAATCAGCAATACAATTGACAATTTAAAGAATGAAGGCATTGTTGAATGAATGCATGTGCAAACCAGAGGCTAGTAGTAATGCCAAAAATAGACCTGCAGAATATGGAAGTGATTGAGGAAGGAGCTATTTCATTTGAAAAGTTTTTCATACATTCGGCACATCTTAGATGTTCAGTATGAATAAGTAGCATTTGTCATATATATTTGTGCATACATATGAGATTAAATATATATATTSTTGTACTACCTGCAGAATAAACTCAAAGTGGAGGGAAGTGGGTAAGAATCAGTAAAATTAATCTTGGTCCATTATCTGCAAAAAAAAAGGCAAAACTTTTGTTATAAACCTCAAGCCATTATGGTTTTTTTAGCAGCATAAAAATCATCTCAGATTTGGCAGGATATGAAAAATGGTTTGTGAAATATCTTGAGTAAGTGAAGGTTTATTTATAAGTCTCTACTGAACCCATGCAGATCTTTATTTTTCTGCATGGCTTCAGAGTGATATGAAATAATGGTTTGTGGCTTGACACTTTGAGCTGTGTTTCACCATAGGAGGTTTTTGTAACTCTGGATAGATCTTCAGCTGGTGTAAATTTTATTCCAGCTGAGCATCTGGTCCTTATTTTCACTGGTTTTATATTAGTCAAATTAATAACAAAACTGTGAAGAAATATGTTCATAAAATAAACATGGCATTCAAAATATATTGCTKGAGAAAAATTGTTTCAAAACAGATGCTGGATTATCCTATTGAATCTTTTTTCTACCTTGCTACGTTAGACATACAAAAATTTAAGAGGATGGGGACAAATGGAAGAACTTGAGGAGTATAAAGCATCTGGAAGGCAGCTGAGAGCAAAATTTACATGCATCACATCTTTAACTCCCAGAATAACACTTGTTTCTGCAAAAATATATCATGTGGCCCAGAAACTCTTAATTAATACAGAATTTTCTGTTGCACATAGAATGGAAYGGAATGGAATRGAATAGAATAGAATAGAATAG